TTATGGCTATAACTAAATTTGACACGTTTTCTTTTAAGCCCAATAAATTATTCATACATGTCAAGCTGTGTTCGATTTTTTCAGGGCATGTGGCCGTTTTTAGTCGAAAATATTTTTTGTGGGAACACTTTTGCGGTACGTATACGGTATAGACCGAGCTCATTCAATGATCGTGACTTAATTTTAAAAATTGAATGTCAAATTTTACCAGACGTGGACCGATGTGGATTCGATATCATTATTTTTGGAATTAATCACTAACATTTCCTCGTTTCTCTGCTCTGTCAAAAGGAGTTACCTAGGTTTTTTTCACGTAACTGTCTCATTAAAATAAAAATAAAAATATTACATCTAGAACAAGCACCCAAAACACGTAACAAGAGGTCCCAGTTCAGTTGCTTTCACGATACAAGTGTAATACAGCTATTAGATTTGAAGTGTCGTTCAGAATGTAATAATAGTTAATACTAGTTGTATGTTCACACTTTACTATCAAAACCACCATTTCGACCACCCATGTGCCAGTTTTCAGTGTTTGGGCGAGCGGTCAATGTTTTCAATGAGCGAGCGAGCGAAGAAAAAAACGCGATTAAAATGCGGTCGGACAAGACCGCGTGGTCGGAAATTAAGCGATAAGCGATCGATGTAAAAGCGGAAGGTTGGGCGAAATGAGTACTGTATGACCATGTTTCTCCGACGAAGTCTCGCCTGACAATAATGCTGACAATGGACGTTAGATAAACATTGTCTGCAACTGGAAGCTTATCACCCGTTATATCAGAATCGTCAACAACAGAGTATACAGATAAGATGTTATCATTTAATTCCTTCCAAAGATAAACACTATGCAAATATCCACGAAACGGCAGTTGTAGTCTTTTCTGCTAGTGTTTTAAAACACTAATTTGAGCAACGTTGTTTCGCAATTTCGATCTTTTGTAAACCTGGGGTGATGTATCAAGGTCTAAAGTAACTGTTTTATCAATTTTTGAAAAATCAAGAAAAAAGTGAAAATTTCCCTTCTCGCTACCTTAAATGCTGATAGTGTTTTTGCATCTGATATGTAAATAAAGAAAAAAAAAACAGCAATTATTTTAAACCTGTCAATGACGTAGTAATTAGAAGAAAATTCATATGTTCAATTAAGTGCAGATATGGCATCTTACAGAAAATTTTATTGTTTTTGGAGGTAGATGTATAATATAATTATTTGTTCATATATCTGGGTGAAGTGTCATGACTACAAGTAAGTAAATAAAATTTTTGTCTATACTTTTTATTTTCAGTGTTTACTCATGTTGTTTGATAGTCCACTGAATAGAGCCGGTTTACTCCAAGTTTATCTACACACAGAAAACAATGTTTTAATTCAAATCAGTCCGCAAACCAGGATACCAAGAACATTTGATCGGTTCTCAGGACTTATGGGTAT